ACCCTTTGGGTTACAGATCGATCTTCCTGAACAACTTTTGCACCAAGGTCTACCACTCCATGCTTCGCAAGCATTTGGTATGGGCATGGGCTTCAGTTTTAGAACACATTCAATTTGGTGGGCGCAAGCAAGTTGGTTGCGATTCAGCGCATCATTTGGTCCAAGCACATCTTGCACATGGAGCCATGCGAAAAGACCCAGTTGCTGTGCTATTTGTTGACTTTAAGTCTGCCTTTTACACAGTTTTACGACAAGGGCTCTTCGCAGATGCAGTGGACGCCACAGGTTTCATGGTGGCTATGCACCGACTTGGCATCGCTCCTGAACACGTTGACCGTCTTCTTTGTCAAGCACAACATGATTGTGCAGTTACAAACATCTCACCACATGCTGCGTTGCTGTTGCGTGACGTGTTGACTGCCACGTGCTTTGAGGTTGATGGCATTGAAGAGGTTGCAGCTACGCATCGAGGCACTCGCCCGGGTGATCCCATTGGCGACATTGCCTTCAATCTTACGATGGCAGTTATTCTCAAGGACATCACCAGCGCTATGACAGCACAGCCGGCAGAATGGGAAGGTGATCCCCGTCCACCCGACAGTTTTTGCGATCCTCTCACGCTTGCGCCTATGGCATGGGCCGAAGTTGCTTATGTGGATGACCTTGCTGTCCTCTTACGCGCCCCCAGCAATGAAGAGTTGGTTGACATGGCCAAGGCAGCTGTGTCTGCCACGATGCAGGCGACCGCATGCCGTGGTCTTGAACTTACCTTTGGGGCTGGCAAAACGGAGCTCTTGTTGGCTCTCAGAGGGGCGCAGACACGCTCTTGGAAAGAAAAATTCCATCAAGCTGGTCAGACACTCTCATGCCAGCGCGCTGAACAGGATGAGGTCCTCACTATGCCGGTTGTCCTCTCTTACAAGCACCTTGGCACGTGGGTCCACAATGACGGTAAGCCTATGCATGCAGTTCGTGAACGTGTCACTGCTGCACGCAAAGCCTGGGGCCCACTGGTCAGACCGCTGTTTGCCAAGAGGTGCGTTGAAGCCAGGACGAAACTCCAAGTTTTCGAATCTCTGGTGCTTTCCCGGTTCCTTTTCAATGTGCACACGTGGAGTTATTTGCCACAGAAGGCCTTGAACGCTTGGGAGAACGGCTTGCGACCAATGCTGTACGCTTTAGCGAAGGCTAAGCTGCGTGGGCTTCCACCTTTTACCTTTTCGACATCCACTTTATGTGGCCTTTGTGGACTTCTTACTCCCCGTGATGCTCTCCATCTTGCCCGTTTGAGATATGTGAAAAGACTGCTTACCCATTGTCCAGCAATTTTGTGGGCCTATCTTCGGGATGTTGAGACCATTGAAGACTCCTGGATGTTTCATCTGCGTGCTTCTTTTGCATGGCTTGCACGGTTTAGTGCCTCTCACTTTGGCCTGACCGGAGACTCCACCCTTGAAGATTGGATCGTTTTTGTGGCTGCTGATGGACAGTGGAAGGGCAGACTGAAACGTGCGGCGAAATCATGTCGCATTTATCGCGGCACCCACGCAGATACAGATGTTTGGCAATCATGGATGTTGCATTTATTTTGCAGCAGAGGAGTCAGTTTTGGGCACCTGTCTCCTACTGCCCCTGCATTGCCATGGATTTGCGAACTATGTGAGCGGAACTTTGCCTCCAAGCGTGCCCTTGCGATGCATGCTGCACAAGTACACTCTTATCAAACTCTGGTCAAGCACTTTGCCGTTGATGGTGCATGCCCGCATTGCACAAGAGACTACCATTCCAGAGTACGCCTCTGTGCTCATCTGCGAGTAGCGACAGATTGTTTGGAGCGTATTCGTGCATCATTCCCTCCGTTGACAGGCTCTGAGCTTGATGCCCGGAACATTGAAGATCGACTTCAGGCTCGTGCACTCAAAGACCAAGGCTGGCTACCCACGAAAGCTCGTGCTCCAGTGTGCCGTTCCTTTGGGCCTGGGTTGCCACCCGTTGGATCAGAGGAGGCACGTGTGATGTTGCAGCGTTGGACTTTGCGTCGTGGCATTGTTGGTGGTCCACTTTTTGACGGTCTCTTAGGTGTTTGTCCAGTTCCTGCGAGCGATGGAGATTTGCCTCAAGTCCCTCCTCCTTCAGGACCAGGCGATGCTGACATTTCTTTCATCATGCATTCTGCTGCTGGCGCTGAACATGGCACCGATGGGGCCTTCTCGATGGGAGGGCTTGCGAAACTGTTTGCCCAGCTGCACATCAAGACGCTGTGCTTCGTCCACTTCTTTTCAGGACACCGCCGTGTCGGTGACTTGCAGCATCAAATTGAGTCACATTTCATTCAGGACCATACCCAATTGTTTTGTTTGAGTGTTGACTTTTGTTTGCAAGGGGAAGAAGGGAACTTAGTAACAGCCAAGAGTCGCTCTTTTTGGACCCAGCAGATCAAGTCTGGAGCTATCATTGGGTGCGGCGGGGGGCCGCCCTGCGAGACATTTACTGCTGCTCGTCTACTCCAGGGCGCCCCCCCCCCTCTTCGTTCCCACGATGAGCCGCTCGGGCTGCCCAGCAATAACGAGCGGCAGTGGCGCCAGACGCTTTTGGGCACGGTCCTCATGCAGTTTATCACCGAGATGGTCGCTCTCTGTGCCTGCTATGGTGGCTGTGCCTTCATTGAGCATCCGTCCTACCCAACGTGGGCCAGGCATTTGAGACCTTCGAGCACATGGTCTTCATTGGCAATGCGATGGCTCCGACGGCTCAATTGCGCGTCTGTGGTGACCTTTGACCAGTGCATCTTTCGATGCCAGGCGCGTAAACCCACCACGTTGATGCTGATACGTCTTCCTCATCTACGTGATCGCATTCTTCGGATGGGCCGTGGTGGCCGTTGCGCACATCCTGCAGGATTCCATGTTGCGCTCAAGGGCAAGGACGATGACGAGCAGTACCGTACTGCCATTGCAAAAATTTATCCCGAGGCAATGAACCTTGAGATAGCCAATGCGGTGGCGGATTTCGCCCTGCAGACTTTTGACGCTCCGTTCCAGCATGAGGCACTGAACGTTGAGCTCTCAAAGCTGGCGCGATTGGATTTTGTGTCCAAAGAGGTCGTTCAACCCGACTTTTATTTGGACTTGTAAAGTATCGTGTCAGCTTTGCATGCACCAAGCAAGAGACTCTTGCAGCATCTGGAAAGGAAAAGGATTTACCCGCTGGTAAATTAACATAGACCCTGAAAATAAGCAATGTTTAGTGGAAACTCATCTTCCACCCCCCAAACAAACCAGGGTCTATGTTAATTTACTGAAGCTTATCTTTAAGATCTGATTTTCCACAGCATTCCAAAAACGGATTCGACGGATTTCACCCCAGTTGAGCATGGTTGCGCCAAGATATGGGGATGAATTCGCAGGCCGACCTTACCATAAGTCATTACCCTCTGGTGAACATACAAAAAGCAATGGAAAATGGCCATAGAAATAGTGGATTTTCCCATGAAAAATGGTGATTTTCCATTGCTATGTTAGTTCACCAGAGGGTATTTATATGAATTTATATGATAAAATCACATGGGTGTGAAATGCCAATGAGTAAAAAACATGTGTCACTGTTATCGTAATTTTAAAATTCTGGTTGGTGGTTTGGAACCATGGAATTTTATGACTTTCCCATCATATTGGGAATGTCATCATCCCAACATTTCCGAAGTCCATCATTTTTCAGAGGGGTAGGTGGCTCAATAGGTGGCTCAACCATCAACCAGTTGTAGTTATTAACCATCATGAAAACCATTAATCATTAATAATAACCATTAATCCTTACTAACCATCATTAATAATGATTAACCAGTTGTAGTTATTAACCATTAATATCAACCATCATTAACCATGATTAACAGTATATTAACCATTAATATCAACCATCATTCACCATCAGAATTGCCTTCACCGATGTGCTGAGACGATCATCGCAACAAACATGGTGAGTTATTCCGATGGCGGCGCCAATGATTTTTTAAAATTATTTTATCAACCATTAACAGGGATACACTATGGATATTTGATGGGATAGGAGTTGATATAAGTTATATATAATGAAATCTAAGCAACAATCTGGATGAATTTGATCATGAGCTCACTGTTTTCCGTCACTGGAATGACGGTTAGGATTCGGGGAAGCATTCCCAAATGAGCGCGAAATCAGTTATTTTCAGGTTAGGGAAGTATTATAATATAATTCAGAGAGATTATTATGATTCTGTGACTATCATGCATGATAATTCAACTAATTATGTGATGGTGAACTGTGATGGTTGTGAATCAAGTACAGTGGCTATCAACTATGGTCAACCAATGATTATAACCAAAGTGGCTGTTGATCATCCTAATTGTGATTTTCAATGCGATTATCAAGTATGATTTTTGAATATGGGGCCAAGAGATTAAGATGGTACATGCCGGTATCCGGATCGATGATCCAGCAGAGACCACTTGCAGCGCATGTCGTTTGGGGATGGGAGCGATGGCTATTCGGCTGCTTCGCAAAGGGAGACCAATGTTTCGTCTCTCAAATGATGATCAACTAACATCAACTAGATGCTGCACCGATATATATATATATATATGTATATACGTATATACACAATGTTCAGTAATTTGTTAGTTCATGTGTTTTTCATAATGTGTCATCTATTTTCACTTAATCATTTGGGCGTTCATTTGTTTTAAAAAAACATCTCACTTAATCATTTCTTAAAAATTTGTTTTAATACTTATGTTTGATACAGGATGACCCCCTAGTTATAAGTTTGTTTATAAACCATTTGAACCCCCCATGAACTAGTTCGTTATAACCAACAACCATAGAATTCAGCCACTTATAAGGCAACTTAGCCATAGTTAACCATAGGTAGCCATAGATACAGTAGCCATAGTTAACCATAGTTAACTGATATCTAGCCCTCATAGGGGCGGAATTTCCCGTGTCATCTTCCCGGTTGGCCTCAGGAGCGCAGTGGCAAAGGGCGCCATAACTCGTCTCCCGCTGGATGAGTTCGAGCAGTGGCTGGGCAGAGAGGGCGTTCCCATGGTGATTTCACCAGGAAAAGCATAGGGAAAACCCATCGGTTTGATCGGTTTTCATTGCGATTCCACCCAACATAAATCTGGCGATTTCATGGGAACATCGCTCAATCGCTCGTTGTCTAGTCGTTGAACTATGGGCTCTGATAAAAAAAACGATCCGGTCGGGCGACGTTTGGGGCTCAAGGGGGTCCACCTTGTAGATGTTTTTGTTGCAAAGAGATTTGTTTTTTTAATGAACTAATTATGATTATATATATATATATTTGATATATATATATATATTTGATATATATATATATATTTGATATATATATATACATATTAGTATATACAATTTATATATTATATAATGGTGGTTGATTTTAGAATATCTGAGAATCATGATCCTACCTTCAAAATGGGCTTATGTTCACAGATTCAAAATGGCCTTCAAGATGGGCCTCTCAACTGCCTAGCCGTGAAGGGGGGTGACCGATTTCGCCACTAGGAGCGGAGCTTTCTCCAGCATTTGTTCAATGTCAAAAACAACAGGTATTTCGATCCATTGTGGTAACAATGTGGTGTGTCAGTGTATTTCAATCCGAAAAATTGTCTCAGGTTCCTGCCGTGGTTGTTTTTTAATAGCTGGAGTTATGGGGTTCCCCAGATTTCTCCCCGGCATTTTCGTCATCGGGTCCCTTAAAAGCCGTAAGAAATGGGGCTGTGAACTGGGTTTGCCTTAGATAGATTAGGTGCCTTTGTCCCAGGGTTGTTCCAGCCTGTTACTATGGGTTCATGAGAACCACTGCCTGGAGGGAAAATTGATCATTTATGATACTTTTACCTCTCTATTTAGCAAATGTTCGGCACTTAAATGTGCCCGGGGTGTTGGGAACATTTTTTTTGCTGGCACGGTTAAAACCCCAAAAATATAGCCGCCTCTTTGCTGGAACATGTTGTTTGTCTCCATCTCCGAAAAAATCACGAAGATTTGACGGTCAGCCTGGGGAGATGAAAAAGAGACGTTGCAGGGCCCCACCATTTCGTTCGTTTCAGTTGGCGTAGTTTCACCATGTTTCAGTGAGATCTCCACCATCAGTTCTGTTCCCAACTCATCACCACCGAAACACCCAGGTTGGCGCAAAAGCTGTTGGATCTAAAGGGAGCCTGCAGAAATGCTACCGAAGATTGTTTGCCCCTGCTAAGGCGAGATCCGTGGGCCACAGATTTGGCTGAAATATCCACGGTCCCGACTTTCAATGCTGGTCATAATCCAAAATAAAAGGACAACCATGGAAAAAAACGAAATGTGAAACTCAAACTTGGACATGAGTCGCCATGTTTTTGCAAAAAAAGACATACCCTCTGGTAATGACTAACATAGCTTTTGAAAATGGCAATTTATAGTGAATTTTCCCATTAAAAATTTTAATTTTCCATAGTTATGTTAGTTTACCAGAGGGTATGTTGAATCTTTGATGTCTTAGTTTGATGGCTTCAGTCAGTTCCCTGATTCCCCAGGGTGGTGCGGTCGACGGTTTGGCCCAGAGTGAATTTGCTGATGCTTGTCTGCCCGTTTCACGTGGAATCCCTTGAAGCGCATTTTTTCAATGGATTCACCAGGCTAACTATACCCTAACTATAACTATACTTATATACTTATATAAGTCCCTGAAATTCAGGCTCAAAAAACAGGTTAGAAAAGCAACATTTTCTGGGATGAGTCACCATTTTTTCGTGTGACAAATCCCAAAAATCGACATCCTGGATCTGGTGATTTTCCCATACCATACCATCTGTGGGGGAGGGTCCTGTTGCATCATCCCAACTTGGGGATGACGGTTGTTGGTTTTTGGTTACCCAAACTGGCAATGACGGGTTCAGTTTGCGAACTGGAAAATCACCATGTTCAATACGTATTCAATAGGTCAATAATCTATAAATAAATGGGCCATATTTTAGCTATGTTAAATGGTCAGAGGGTACCACATCAATCCCATTGATTTTTCAGGTCTCGTTCTAAAGCCCAAGACTTGTACTCGTATCCGAGTGACATCTGCAGATATGGACACCTGTTTTCTTTACCTCAGCTGCAAAAGTCCGTACATGTATGTATACCATTGTATACATATATATGACTATCTGATACTTTTTCGTATTTACCTATATATGACTATATATCTATTTGACTATAGATGATACTAGATGTATGTAATAGTATTCATGCTTGGCAGTTACGGTTGCATTCATACAACCATTGAACACCCGCCAGAAAATCACGCAAGTCACCCTCTCATGAACGCTTCGCGAAAGGCGGGTCTGCCAGGATCCCACCCTGGCCCTTAAATGGTCTGAATCGTTTTGCAATGTTGCCACTTCAAAAAGCCCTTAATAAGGGTGAATAATGGTTGATAATGGTTGATCAGGGGTTAATAATTGCTGAATGATGGTTGATAATAATGGATTTTTGCTGTAACTTGTGTTTCCGTTGTCGGACAATCTGTAAAAACGACCCAGTCGAACGCTTCAATGCAATCCTGATTATGATCATATTATTTTACAATATTTTATAATATTATACAAATAAGAATCCCAATCATTTTCATAGTTCCCATTCACATATATTCCATTCCCATATATTCCAATGAATTACAGGCCCAACCTGACTATGGCATTGGGTTTACCACATTTCTACATCACCACATCAGGATATGATATGACCGAACCCATCCGTAGATATCCTGATTTTCCAGCTGTCAAGCCGCCCCCACATGGGCGAGGAAAGACTGCATTCCAGGAATCATAGGTGGCTACCGGTAAGAAACATAACATACTATAGAATCCACTTGCATAGTCTTATTTATATGGGCAAATCCCTGACCATGCAGTAAAAATCAAAAGATGGACTGAAACATGTGGAAAGAAGAAAAACCAGAGAGACATTGTAGTAGGAGGAGTAGTAGGATTAGTAGCAGTAGTACGAGCAGTAGGAGCAGGAGTAGGAGTAGGAGTAGTAGTAGTGGTGGTGGTGGTGGTAGTAGTAGTAGTAGTAGGAGTAGTAGTAGTAGTAGTAGGAGTAGTGGTAGTAGTAGTAGTAGTAGTAGTAGTAGTAGGAGTAGTAGTAGTAGTGGTAGTATTACTAGTACTAGTACTAGTACTAGTAGTATTACTAGTAGTATTACTAGTAGTATTACTAGTAGTATTACTATAGTACTAGTACTAGTACTACTACTAGTACTACTACTAGTACTACTACTAGTACTACTACTAGTACTAGTACTAGTATTAGCACAAGTACTAGTAACATTAGCAACACTAGTAGCTGGGAGAAGGGGAGGGGAGGGATTTTGATTCAGACGAAGCAAAAACGCGCGGCAAGGGAGCAAAGGAACAAATACATGCAAAGAACAGAAAGAAGAATAGAAACAAGGAGTAGAAGTAGTGTAGTAGTGTTGTAGTAGTAGTAGTAGTAGTAGTAGTAGTAGTAGTAGTAGTAGTAGTAGTAGTAGGAGTAGTAGTAGTAGTAGCAGGAGTAGTAGTAGTAGTAGTTGTTGTTCTTGTTCTTGTTCTTGTTGTTCTTGTTGTTCTTGTTGTTCTTGTTGTTCTTGTTGTTCTTGTTGTTCTTGTTGTTCTTGTTGTTCTTGTTCTTGTTGTTCTTGTTCTTGTTGTTCTTGTTGTTCTTGTTCTTGTTCTTTATCTTGTTTCGTCGTGTTCGTCTTGTTCTTGTCGTTGTTCTTGTTGTTCTTGTTGTTTTTGTTGTTCT